TATTATATCGAGATTCTATCAGAGGACTGCAACGCCTGTCGTCTGCGAATAACTCGAGTGAAGCAATCTAGTGCCAACCACCGACGGGCATCGATTGCCATCCATTGACGGCAATCGAATGTGCAGGAAAGCAGCTTCCACACCTCCGTAGGATATCGCACCCATTCAAACACACATGGGCCGGAAGCCAAATTTCTTGCTTGGTGCTCTGGTGCTAATTTGACAGCTCATCCTTTTCCTCTATGATTAAGCTTGGTACATGTCGCGCCGCCTTGATAGAGTTTTCTAGATAACGTTATAACAAATTGTCCTGCAAATTGTGCTAGTCAATTCAAAAACAACTAAATCATTTTTTTTTTTAATTGTCCATTGCGGGAAAGTAAGAATGGTTTTGAAGACATTACATTTGTTGCCACCTTGCCGCACTTTATGTTACATGGTTGGAGCTTAAAGATGTTCTGGATCACCAGCGCTGCTGATAATTTTGGCAGTTTCAAGAACTGGATAGCAGTGCAGGGGGTTGCTATATACCTACTGTTTTCAACTTTAATGTGCTGTTTACACTTGTTCTGGTATGCTAGCGCTTGTGTACTAGAACTGTACTAAGAGCACCCGCACCGGTGCGTTGCTATTTGGGCTGCTAGTTTGACAACTTTAGCCGTTGCTATTTTAGATAACAACTAGTTTACGCACCGGCTATTGCTATCACGATTGTATATTTATGTTTTCGACTATCGCATCGGTAGTTGCTAAACTTATCGTCGAACTTCGAGCTGAAATTGATCACAGAGTTTCGTTATTATTATTTTTTCGACAATATTGATATACCCGACAATGACCATGAAAGCTGAAGCACAGACAAACAGGCGTAACTCTTCATTCTGGATCATCGTTTGCGCATTTAACGATTGGTTTGAATGTTATCGTTTCCGCGAACTACTCGCCGCAGCACTGGCACCGGATCACTTAGACGTTTCTATATATTCGGTGTTTATTGCATGCAACATTGTATGCGAATCAGCGAGAAAGCTTGTTTTCCGCGAGAAGCCCGCAAGAAATCGTTACTGCAGTCCTATGTTTGGCGGTAGGGTTTTTGATCTAATTTCCGTCCTACTAAGCACAACCCGCGCTTTACCTCTCTTTTCTGAACGAGTTTAAACAAAAAATGGAATATTTCTGTCAACGATGACTTTTAAATTTATTCACCATTCCATACGTACCGTTAGATTTGATAAAGAGTCACAAATTGTTGAGATATTGTTTTAAATCCAATACTGCTTCTTGATTCTAAACTCGTTCTACGAGTTTCAATTCCGTCCTAAAGCATTGAAACTCCATTAGATTTTCTTCGTCCTACGGATAAACGTAGAAAAAGGGGATTCGCTAGGAGCGCTTCTTTTGTTTTGAAAACAATGAACGTAACTAGTCATACAATGCGCTCTAACAGGATTTATGTTGTAGCTAATGAACTAACGCATCGGAACAAACCTATTATTGATTTGTGCACAGTGAAATCATTGATATTATTAATCTTTTCTGATCGATAGAACGGAAATGGGCGATTACGACGAAGTAGTGCTCTACCCTACTATGTTTTGAAGATAATTCCATTCAATGAGTTACGTCTGTTTCTAACTTTTTTCGAGTAAAGTCCTTACTGTCTGCGGTGGGGGATAGGTCTAGCGATGTTCATCACCACCTAAAGCCTACCGTTGTCGAAAGCATTTTCAATCTATCGGAATTATCAATCTATCTTTTTCAGAACTTTCTCTAGCTAATAAATTATCGCTCTAAAGCTTCATGTTGATATTAGTATAGCAGTTTTTATAAGCTATTGAAAAATCTTGGAAGTACAGGGAACTTCCAAGGAGTTCGTGAAACTTCCCAGAAGTTCAGGGAACTTCATAGAGGCTCAGGGAACTTCAAATAGATTGGATAGATGAATCATCAAAGTTTCTGTATTTGAATCAACTTGGAACTTCAAACCGGATTTTTTTTTTTAATTCCTGAGGGTTCATCTCAGGTATTCCATTACCATTTGCTCCTTAATCCATAATTATCGACAGAACGCTCTTTGATTCACACCTCAATTCTCATAAAATTTTTAATAATTCTCGCTGTAGTACCCTAGAAATCCTCAAACAATTCTCCTGAAAATATCTCTCCTCAGTACTCTTCTAAAATTCCAATGCAATGATCTACGGAATTACCTCTGTATTCCACTTAGAATTCCTTTGGAGTGGCTCCGATCATTCCATGAAATGGTTCTCAGAAGTCTCCAGAAACTCTACTTTGAGATCTCTAAAGATAATTACAGGACCAATCTTGAAACTTTTCATAGTATTCCTTTGAAATTTACCTCAAAACTTTGTTGGAAATTTCCTTGACACTATCATCATCAAATTTCATTGAAATAATCCTAATTGAAATTCTCAGAATTTTCATTGAGTTTTATTCCGAATTCCCTTTGGATTCTCATGCTTCGCTTGGAATTCTACTAACAAGTACTGTTTGTGCAACTGTCCATTAAGTGTGTACTTACCCTTCCAGCCGTACTGATGTAAACTACACAAACAGGTGCCACTAGTAATGGAATAAATGTATCGTCTTCAGTGTATTGTATCCATTTTCATTATCAATAAAAGCAATAGTTCAAGAGCAAATTTTCATTACGTCGAAAGTAACAAAGGTAAACAAAGTCGAGCTATCAGTGTCAATCGATACTCCTGCTATTACACTATATACTGTCCGAATATAGGATCACATCCCATTTTTAAATTTATTTACCAGTCAAATTGCTTTTTGACGTAATCACCTTCCGATCAAAATAGTTTTCGATGTTACTCAAGTCACCCGATTTCTATGGAGATGCCGTTTGACTTAAGTAACAGCGCTGAGAAACCCGTGAAAAGTGTACGTTCGTCGTTTCGCTTTCTCATTATTAAAGTGAATAAATCGAACTGCTTGTTGCTAAGATGATTTCGGTGGTCCTAAAATGATGAATGGGCTGCACGTAAGGAGACGTAATTGACAATTCTCCCGAATATCCTGGTAAATACACTTTGACTTAAGTAACAATAGGGGCCACCAAACGACGTATAATAACTTTTGACTTAAAAACCAGTACTTTTTAACATGAAAGCTAGCGAATTGCATTTGTATGATTAGAACCCTGCTATATATTTTAAACATTGCTATCACTATGAGATTATACGAGTTTAATTGAGCATAGGAATAACTTTTCGGTCATCAAAACAAAACCTTATTTTTCTCGGATTGGTGCGAATGTTACTTACGACATAATGAAAATTTGCTCTTGAGTTCGTATGCCTCCGCCATGGTAGGACGGCCAGACAATGGTTCGTCATTTGATTTATAAAATAACACAACGTAAGAAAAGGTCCTGCCCGTGCGCGACAAGTACCTTGGAGTTCTCCTTAGAATTCACTTTCAGTTTTCCTAGCAAATCTCTTAGAAAAGTCTGCTCAAAGTTACTTTGTATTTTTAGAAATAAATCTATTTGGAATTACCTCCGCAGAATTCTCTTGTAAATTTACTTTGACTATTACAGACTTGTAACTCTATTCAGAACTACTTACCTGGAGTCTGGTGCTCCTTAGAACTAATTTGAAAAGAATGCTCAGATTGCATTTTCCTAAAAAATTTTCTATTGATATTTTCCCCTGATTTCTTTTGAAATTAGATCCTTGGAAATTCTCATCAAATGTAATCATTAAAGTTCTCAAGCTTTCAACCTTTGCTTGGCACAACATTTATTTGAAATCTGGGTTCTTGGTATTTGATCTTTGGCTGTGGTCTTGAAAAATTATGTTCATTCCAGACTCTTTAAAAGGTTGATTTCAGTAGGTCCAAGATTTCAAACAAAAAGTCCAAGTTTAAAATCTGCAAAAATTAGCCATGTTCCGAATTAAAAAAAAAAATTAATTTCAGCCTAAGAATATATGTTCCCACTGAAAATAAATCCACTCCAGAATTAGTATGTTCCACGAGTAACAGGAACTAACGAGGACGATAAAGTTGGTTGTACATACCTACTATAAAATATTTCATATTATTTTTTTTAATAAATATATTCTATTCCTGATGAATGTGGGCGTCTTAGTGGAATACTTCCTTAATGTCCAGACTTCTTCTGTGTATTGTACTAAAACTCGACGAAATACGCGGCTCTTGTATGACCGTGTTTTAACGAAACACAAGGGCTACACTTTGATCGATGATGAAACATACGTCAAACTCGATTTTAAGCAGCTTCCCGGTCAAAAGATTTATTCAAGTTCGTGTTTGCCGACAAGTTTGCGAAGAAGGTCACCATTCGTCAAATCCTCGACGATGGCATCCCAAGTTTACATCGAAGAATGCCCTAAAGGTATTGCCAAAGCCGTCATTTACTCAAACTAGGTATCATTTCAATTTAAAATTTTAGAAGACATAAAGCAGATCAAATTAAGATGCTATTATAATCGAACGAATCCCCTACCAAAAGGTGCTAAAAGCTGTTTGAGCAAAGCTGATAATAATCCAAATGCCTTTTTGGCGGTCACACCAACTTCGACAGAAAGGAAATATGCGATATAGGTAGGTCCCTTGTTTATTTCAAACATTGAAAACCACTTTCCACCGACACTTGATTAGGACGGCCCGGAGTTGATGTACTGCACGAAATTTCTAAACAAATCAAGACTGTTTACTCCCAAATCGTTCACTAAATACTTTCCTAGTACTAATCATTGCGCTGCTTAGAGAGCTCTTCCCTATTAATAGAATCAACCATCTTCGCTCCGAAATGATTGATCCCCGTACCTCCTTATCTCCTCGAACTCAGACTCGTCGTCCGTACATTAAAACTACAAAATGCATATAAATCGACCGTAAATGTCTGCCGGGAAGTCAATCCCCGTGACCGTTGATGTCGTATCAGAGGAAATCGAATCGGAAATTAAGGCTAGGGTTAGAAGAAAAAACGGATAATTACTTACGATTTTCACTCCTCCGGACGACCGCAATCCACTTGCCTACTACCGTTGTTGTTGTTGTTGTGGTTGATGATGATGATGTGCTTCAATGCCGAAGAAAATCTGCGCGAAAGCGCCATCAGCTGCCGCATTTCCTCCCCAGCGCACAGTAGGCGGGGAAGGTAGACCAGAGGATGTAAGCTTTTAATCTCGATGTTAATCTTCTTTCTCCTCGAGATTACAGCAATTGCGAGCACAGCTAGAAGCAGCCTTTCAAAGGGAAATCACTCACTTCCTCATGTATATTCAAAGGAACGCTTTTGTCACAACTTTCTTGCACTTGTTTCGAATCGAACACCAAACAATCCCGATTGACCGTATTCTTTTTGCTTTCTGGGGATCTCCACTCGTCGAAGCAGGCCGTCCCCGTGCGGAGAGCAGGAAAAACCTGATCTTCGGCGCAAATCAAAGCAGGCACCAACTTCGCAACACGACTTGTTGTTCGCCGTACAGAAAGGTCGTTGATATTCCAGCTGCTCGATCGTCGATGGCAGTCAGCCACCAGCAGCAAGATCGATCGGTGTAAGACTTGATTTTTTTTTTGTTATTACTGAAGATCACGTTCCGTGGTAAATAGCACCAACAATGACAGCGGCTTGTGTGCTGCTACGGCACTGTAAATCGCGAATTTTTCTGCTAACTCACGAAGGCATGCTCGCAATTTCAGAAATTAATCTCCAATACACTTAGCGGATCACTTGGGCAACTCTTAAACGGGGTTCTCCCGACGATCGTTGTGGTGAGCTTGAGGTCTACGTGCGCGATCTTCACCACTTGAAGTTTTCGAGCACTGTTGTTCTTTTTTTTCGTTTTCTTCTTCCGCGAAAGTCACACTTCCAAATGCTAGTAGCCTTCGATAGGAAACTGCAACCGCTTTGTTTTGAACACGTCGCCTATGACAACGATCAACGACACGCACGACGACGACGACGACGCCTACTGAGGGAAGCGATCTTTCCTGTCAGTTAGAGAAAAATCCTCCAAAAACCACGAGTCAATGCGTTGTAATGATGATTTCACAAATCCGACCGACACAGGAACCGTTCCGAAAAGAAAAGAGAACCGTGTGTTCGAACCCGAGATACAAGCCTAAGCCATAGAACTGCCTAGCTGGAAGAGGAGAGACCGACTGGACTGGTTTTTTCGGCTTCCTCTTCATTCACTCCGTTGTTCTCTCGCCCGTCTGCTTCGTTTCGTGTCGTTTTGTGCAGCCCACACCACCGTCACGACTACAGAGATACCTACCGACCTACACCCGTCCCACCGTCCCCGTCGCCAACGACAACCGTTCACATTTGGGAGGCCCAACAACCCAACTTGACTGGGGAGAAGCACGATTCACCAACACCACGGCGAACAGATCGACGGATCGCGAGGCGATCATGTGCTGGGCTATGAATGACTGCCGAAACGGGCTCAGCTCAGCAGCATGATGCATTATCGCAAACGGCCCTATCACAACGACCAGTGTGCAGTTTATGTGCAATGTACTGAGCTTATTACACACGCATACGCCTAAAGCCGCCCTTTTCCATGCTATGCTACATCTCCGGGCGAGAGCATGAGCATAATGTTGTTGCAGCAGCGGCAGCCCCTCATTTTCCGACAGGGATCGTCCACACTCAACGAGGTGACTTATGCTTTATGCTTTATGCAGCAGTGTGCACCGGCGCTCCGACCAGACGAGTGAAAGAAGAGAAAGGAAACGAATTAATTAAGTGGATTAAGTGCGTCCCGGGGATTTGGCCGCAGATGATCGCGCGCGCATTGACACTAGGCACCTACCTATAGGCGAGCCAGTTACTAAGTGCGAGTTGCTAAGGCGACAAATGCATGGGTTCGATGATAACAAGACAACGCAAATGGCACAGTAGGCATATAGTAGGTGGCGGGCGGGGTACTTACACAGTTTACTGCGATCGCTAGGAACTGTTTAATCGGTTCAGTTTACTCTTCGTTTTTACACAAGTGATAACGAAAGGGATCACAAAGTAGGCAATGTAAATACTGCTAGTGGATTATTATGCATTGGAATTTTTTTAGCGTTTTTTTTTATTCGATTTTTCAAATTGTATACCGATTAATACCAATTTTTTAAATTATGAAAATTATTATTGCCTACCAGGGCTCGAATTTCGGAAAAAAAATACTGTGAGAGACTTGTATCTCTGAAACTTCAGAAAAGTCTAGACTTTTGAGTAAGTTCCGATAAATTAAAGATAGTTTCATTAACTTCTGTTCAAATTTCAAAACCCGAAAGTTTCAGGAAACGCTGGGCAACATCAGAAATATTTTGGAAACTTCACAAGTTCAGGAAAGTTTCAGAGAATTGAGAGAACTTTAGGGAAGCTCCGTGAACATCAGGACAGATCAATTATTTTCAAGGAAATGCTGATATTTTAAAGGATTTCCGAGAAACTCAGGCAATGTTCCACAAATTTTTGGAAACGTGAGGTGAGTAACATGAACATTAGAACATTGTGAGAACATTTTAATGGCAGTGCCAAGAATTAAAATTTTAAAAATTGGGAAGATCAAAGATCTTCAATGCTAATGATACAATAAATTCAAGAAAATTGTGAGAGCACTTAAGAAATTTCGTAATATTCAAGAAAGTCCAGATACATTCAAAGATGATTATAGATATTCAGAGAAGTTCCGAGTACTTGGAGGATGATCAGAGAACTCAAAAACAGGCCCATTAACTTCAAGAAAATTACAAGAACTTTTAAGGAATTCCGTTGAATTATGAAGTATTCCTAAGTGCATTTCAGAAATGTTCCGAAAACCTCAGGGGCATTGCGAGGTCTTCAGGGATGTTTTATGAATATCAGGAAAATTTGCTGGATCATTAGAACATCCCCCAGAAATCTCTTTCTTCCGGAATTATGTTCTTGCTTCTTTCGACTGTTCCGTAGACGCTCTGGCTTCCAAATTTCTCCAGAAGTTTCTTGCAATCCACCTTAGGAAGTGTCTGCCAGCGTCTCCAGGAAGTTTCTTCCGTCTTCTTCTGGAAGTGTGTCCATAAGCCCTAGGTTTTCGACTTTTATTGGAAGGTTTTTCCGAACTTCTTCTGGCTTCCCCTAGAACTGGGTACTTCTGGAATTTATTTCCATTTTCCGAAACTTTTCTGGCTTCCTTTGGATGTGACATCGGATTTTTTTTTTCCGATGGTTTCTTTGAATATTCACTAGAAGTTTCTCAATTCTTGTATTGGTAGTTCCCGGATGTTTCTCCGACTTTTCTTAGAACTTTACTCGAATTTCGTCCAGAAAAGCTTCTTTCTTCTTTCTCTGAATGTTTCTTCAGAAGCTAATTCAAAAATTCCTCTGACTTTTTTTTCAGAATTTTCCGATCATAGTCCAAAAGTTAAAATAAATTAAAATAGTAACCGATTTTCCTTTGATACCGATAAACTTTAAAACAATCTGGCATCGCTGCTAATGGCCAAAGGTACAAAAGAACAAACGCACAAAACGTCTAATGATAAGAAGGGGGACAAAAGATCGACTGATTCAAGGAGGGATAAAAGGTCGATCTTTTCAAACAGGGACAATATAAAAATCTAGATATAGCTGGACTTAGGGCCTAACAGCTTTTGTAAACAATGACTTCTCTTGATGATTTCTAGAAATTTAAGGCTCGCCCACGCAAACCAACATCCTCATCGGGTAGGGAATCTACCATCTATCCATGGTTAGGTTGGTCTGCGGGGACTTGCCTTGAATTCCTAGAAATCATCGATAGAAGTCATTGTTTACAAAAGCTGTTACGTCCTAATTCCTGCTCTATCTAGAAATGTCGACTTGACAAAACGTTAAATAACATAAGGTCTAAGATACAAGAGGCCGAATGTACGAAGGGTCGAATGATTCAAAAAGGAACAAAAGGTCGATTGGTGGTTGTGAAGCTGGTCAGATGGCAAATAGTTGAAAGAATACTTGACAGACTTAAGACACCGATACGTTAAATATCAAATGATTGATCATTGATATCGATTATTGATTTGATTACAAGCAGTGATGCAGAAAAGGAGAAATATTAATAATGCAATCCTAGCTTTCAGGGTCATTTTAACTACGGATGTTGATGCAATTTGCCTTAAAATTTTAAACCGATTGATTCAACATTAGCTTGTAAAAACAACGCAGTACGAATACTGTTCCGAAGGATTCGACCAAAGGTTATAAGGAAGAATGGATCATTCGACCTTTTGTCATCATTCAACGATTAGTCTATTCGACTATTTGTTCCTTTTTGAACCGTTCGACCTTTTGTCCATTCAACCTTTTGATCATTCGACCTTTAGTCCCTCTTTGGACCATTCGACCTTTTGTCTCATCAGCCTTATACATTCCATATGTGGTGTTTACATCTGTGCGGATTTACGCGCGCTAGTGTACTAGTCAATTAGCACGAATTTCAGTTGCTCCTGAAATCTCATGCTGGTAGACGCTGGTGCCCTGTTTACATTATGCTGGCGAGCTTTTTTGCTAGCAGCTGGCTCATTAGCGCTAGTGAAATAGCACAAATGTAAACACCCCAATAATACAAATCATATAGCGCTAATGGGGTGTTTACATCTGTGCGGATTTGCTAGCGCTAGTGTACTGCTGCCCAGTTTACATTATGCTAGTGAGCTTTTTGACTAGCAGCTAGCTCATTAGCGCTAGTGAAATAGCATAAGTGTAAGCACCCCATACAGGAGGATAGACTGGAAACGCTCGTGGATCTTGCTGTCAACGTAGAAAATTTCTGTGCGACAGTGGACCCATGTGGATTGGAGGAGTACTTGTACAACGTGACCTTTCTCCATCAACTCGTCAACAAGCTGCCACCTTCTATCAAGTTGAATTGTGCACAGTGCAAACAATCACTTCCCATGGTTCAGCAACTGGCTCTATTCTCTAGCGGAAGCCGCCAGCGCGGTGATCATTCTCAATGTCGCTGTTCGGACTGAAATTCGTGGAAACAAGAAAGGGAATTCCTTCCATCGGATCATCGCGTCACTGCATCATTCAAAGCAAAATCGGCTCACGATAACTGTCCAGTGTGCAAGGGAACCTGCAAGTGGATCGCCAAATGCAAGAGCTTCATAGAAGTCTCTCGTGATTCAAGCTGTGCTACAGCACGAGACCTCGGCCGTTGTCGGAGATGCCGACGTCGGAACAACGGAGCATGTCAAGTAAAGCAAGCAACGACCAGAAGAACGCCTCGCCGTCATCTACAAGCAAATCACTCAATAACACAAACAAACCCTCGTCAACAAATCGCAACGACCCTGCTCAACCAGGAACGAGTACGTCCGGACAAGGGTGCCATACTCATCAGGTTACATCAAGTCGCGTACTTTTCCGGTACTTACCGGTAGTTCTTCAAGGAAAGCACAGATCGATCCTGACGTTCGCCTACCTGGACGATGGATAATGATCTAGCGGAGGAGCTGAAGCTTGTAGGAGAGAAAAAGCCTCTATGTTTGCAATGGACAGGTGGAGCCCAACGACGAGAAAACAGTTCGAGAGCTGTCAGTTTGGAAGTAGCGGCAGCTCACAGTCCTTCCAGGAAGTATACCTTGAACGGCGTGCGAATAGTAGACGAACATCTACTACTGTCACAAACGCTCAACGTAGAAGAACTTTGCAAGCTGTATCATCACCATAATGATTTGCCTATCGCTTCGTATGTTCGGCCGAAAATCCTGATTGGCATGAAGGAACAGCACCTCAGTTTAGTCCTGAAAAGTCGAGTGGGTATAAGAAACCAGCCTGGCTGGACAGTCTGAGGCCGACAACATAGTAGAAGCGATTCGATGCGATAGCAATTGTCAAAACGAAATGAAACGGCAAGCAAAGTAGCCTATGACATAGTGAAAGCGTTTTTGAAAACATTACAGTCGCTCGCGCAGTGCAAAATATTTGTTCAAATTTGTTTCAATTCAGCATGGATTCATCCGGTGAGGAATATTTCGCTTCCTCAAGCACGATTAATTTCGTAATGAACAACAAAAGAGAGTTTGTAGTTCACCCGATCAATCGAAATAGAAGGCAAGATGAGGAGTTCTTCAGATTGTACGAAGATCTTCGTAAATATCCAGAGAAGTTTCGGTCTTACACAAGAATGGATATGGACACATTCGATCTGATTTTGAATATAGTGACAAACACAAGGGTTAAGTCACTCAGCACATTGTGCCGAAATTACATTCGGCACAGCTTGGGCACATCCATCGGCACACCTTTGGGATACCTTTGGCACAGCTTCAGCAAACCTTCGGCACAATCTCATAGGCATTGGATTGTGGTGAATAAAATGGGAGCTGTCCAGCAGTGCTGTCATTGAAGTGGTTCACAACATTACGTGCTGTTTGACTGCATGTTCAGGAACATCCTCCAATTGAATATACCAAAGGAACTCAGACCAGCAATTCAATTATAGATCTTAATACGAAATATAGGTTCTAGAGTGGGCTCAAGAGAAAGAGGCAGTAAATTAGACCCCATTAGTAACCTTAATTCAAATAATGCTACAACTCACACAAAACAAACTACAGAAGTCTATTCATCATCCTCCATAGTCGGTCTCCAACAATGTTCCCCCGAGTGTTCCCCACCGGTTCGAACTCTTTTCAGCTGCTGATAGACCGTTGCTTTTTACATCACGAAAGGCTAGGTTTCTGCTCTGCCTTTGATGGCATTATAAAACTCTAAAACACAGGACTTTTATTATCATATGAACGCAAAACACCAAAATTTCGCACACTCGCCGTTTCCCGCGTCATCATCATCGTTGATTTATCCTTGCTTTCAAACCATAACATTCAAGCTGTCAGAAATACCGGGTTGCCGGGATGGGTATTTTACAAACGATCACAGCTTGCTCTGTGACCGGCACAATCGGCTTACTTGCGGCACACTGACAAAAAGGATGACCCAAGATTGGTGTGCGGAGTGACCTACCCCTTGGACAAACAAGATTATCGGTCCACATGCGTTCGAAGGCGCCAAAACACAACACGAACAGCTCTGTCGCTTTGCTGAACGCTGCACACTTCTTCGCATCGCTTTCACTATGATAGGTTTGGGCGATTCCCATAGAACGCTTATATGTGGACCGTACACGATTGCTTTTATTGACAATAATCGTATTGTCAATACATTTTATATTGACGTCAATACATCGGTATTGACAATATTTCTGTATTCACATCATCAATATTATTGTCAATACTTGTAAGTATTGACAATATTTCTTACCGTGTGGGGTTCGCTATAGAGGAGCTTTCACGCAAGCGCTTCGCTTATTGCCAACGCATCGAATCACTTCTACTATGTTGTCGGCCTGAGGAGGAGGAGGCCTCGAGAGACTCAAAACGATGCCGCTAGTCGAGTGCACTCAGTCTTCCGCCGCATGTGTGCTCATGCGAATCACCATCGGACGAGGATCTACACAAGGCGATGAAGGAATATTTCGCTGTCGACATTTTGGGAGTTGCGCAGCTGAAGAGAGCGCTTTTGTCTACAGCAGATGAACGAGCTCAGTCGTTGCTGGAATCTTGCACCGTGTGGAGACCGCTTTGAAACTGGCTTACTTTGGCGCTATGACAATATCCGTCTATCAGGCAGCCGCTCAATGGCATTACGTAGACTTCAATGTCTCAAGAAGCGAATGGATAAGGACCCTAAGCTCACGGAAGCGCTGAACCAGAAAATCAGTGACTTCGTCACGAAAGGATGCGCTAGAAGGACTGAAGAAGCTATACCAGCGAGTCTGATACTTGCCCACATTACCCGTTACTAACATCAACAAGGGAAGATCCGAATAGTATGGAACGCTGCTGCCTCTGCACTCTGCTGACTCGGATACCTTTACCTACAGGTTGGATAGGCTCGCTACTGTCCAACACACCGAATTGTGAATATATCCAGCTCCACACGTTTGTCGACGCTGGTGACAATGGAGTTGGTGCGGTCTGTTAGCTGCGCTTCTCCCAAGATGACGTCGTGGAATGCAGCTTAGTGGCTGCTAAAATTAGAGTTGCTCCGTTGAAATTTCTCTCAACACCTAGATTGGAACTTCAAGCAGCATTGATTGGCGCCATGCTAGTTCGATCCGTTTCGGAAGCCTTATCAATCCGGATCTCACGTCGCTACTACTGGTCGGATTCGCAAGACGTACTGTGCTGGATCAACTCTGACCACCGGCGTTACTCGCAGCTCGTCGCGTTCCGGGTCCGGAAATGAGTGAATTGAGATGCGTTCCCCATATAATGGGACGAAATGGAAAGGGCTTCCTGACATGCCCTAAGAGGCACGATGGTTCAACGGCCCCGAGTTTATGCAGTACCTGGAAACAGATTGAAAACAATGACTTCTATCGATGATTTTTAGGAACTCAAGGCACGCCAACGCAAACCAACACAACCGTCAGGTAGGGGAAGTCTTCCTCTACCAGATGCTATTGTTGATTTGCATTAGCGAGCCTTAACATTATAGAAATCATCGAAAGAAGTCATTGTTTCCAAAAGCGGTTACGCCCTAATTCCAGCTCTATCTAGATATATACAGATATACAGATTCTTGGCTCTGAAATCATGCAGAAAATCTGTAAAATACAGAATAATCTGTATAGGGGAAATGGATGTAATATCGGCCTAAATGCCCCTAATTGGGCCCATACATAAATTCAGCAATCGACTAAATTTTCTATAGTGACCAAAAATATCCATTAGTACCGTCCCCAATGACGCGTCCATCTAGATAAAATTGATAAATAGCAGATTTTTAGCGATGGGCCCAATCTTAGATCCATAGGCCAACATTAGAGCCATTTCCCCTATATGGCAACCCTGATTGCCATCCATATCAGTAAGTTGTTATTTGACTAGTGTCATCAAGAAATAATCGATAAGGCAACATGAACAACAATTGGGAACAGAAACTTAAGGGCTCAACTTTTAAACGTACTGGTAATCCTATTAATCAGATGTATTCAACCTAACTGTAGCTGTACTTAAATATTATCTGAGCTCATCGATCAAGATTCGTTCGTTCTAGGAGTTGCAGCAGTCCATTTAACAATCTCCTAGCCCTTCCTTTCTGAACGTATTTAGCGTTCGCTCATTAGATTAAGTACTTTAGCTAAAGAGCTCCATTTAGGGTGCGCGTCCGACACTAGCCCCACAAATGCACACGATCAACTTGCTGCAGCAGTTTAAACTCAATTAAGGTGTATCTATCCATGCCTAGCCGCTCCAGTGTGCCGCCCTGGAGGTTCATCGACATCATTGCACATAAGTAATACACGTATGCGATGCAAGCATGCATGCGGTCGCACTATAAGCGCTGAACAGTACCGTTCATCGCCGCTTTTACGCATCATCACCATACTTCTATCTACCTACCTACCTACTACGAGACGAGCCACACCACATAAAAGGGGAAATGCGCAAAAAAAAAAACAACTAACTAACCCATTATCTGTTCTTATTGAGTGCCGACTACAACGTGGCCCGGCCGGCTCATTGCACTTTTGCGCTGGAGTCTGCTGGTTGGTTGAGTTTAGGCGCCTTCATCGTGCAGCAGCATCCTCGATTGATAGTGAGTAAACGATCTTAGCGGACACAATGTACGGGGCTGGGGTAGTAATTATTTATGCAATTATTCATTGGATGACCTCTTTGCTACGTTGATGCCGATAGGGGCATTGTATTACAGTACATACGAACACATAGGAATATAGAGTGCTTATCATAACTGGTCGGGCGATGTGATTAAACATTTACTATGGCGACTCTGATCTCAACTTAGTGAGCATTCTGCTTCATATTTAACTACGAACAAACTCAGCAAGACAGTGATATTCATCCGCAAAAAAAACAAGTTTGGCATTTTTTTATATTAAAAAAAGAAACAAATTTATCTATTTCATCTAGGATAAAGATCTAAGCGATTGCAAACAAAAATAAATTAATTCACGAGGGTTCTAAGCTTTGAGTTAATGTTTATACTAAAACTAACAATGTAAAAGATCTACACATTCGATCGGCGAAATTGCAACAGGTGTCGTCAGAGCTTACGATTAGTTGGAACGTGGAGGATCGATCAGCAGGTGCATATAGTCTTCCATTTGGTCCCGGAGTGCTTCCACCTCTTCCATCAGCTTGGCCTGAAAAGATATAGAGCAGATGCGGGGAAACGGCGTAAGATGCATAGTGAGTGGGTAAGCAAGATGCAGTGGTAAAACACACGCGAGTGCCACCTCTGAGTCAGTGTTGGAAGCGTCGAAGGTAATGCGACATTTTTATGTTGCCTACACGCTGAGAACAGATAACCTTAATGTAGGTAGATTCTTACTAAGATTTGACTACATATATTTGTGTTAAAATTTTTCCCATATTTTGGTTTGTCCGGTTTAGTCTATAGACACTGTATATAGACTGGACAACGTTTGTCTTATGCAGCCAAACGAACTGTCAAAAAGTGTAACCAAACGGACTGTCATCCTTTGGTTTGCTTCAAAGGAGCAAGTATTGTGATCTAGTGTTGTTTTGACAAAAAGCAAAATATAAACAAAGAGGCGAACTCCTAGTAAAATTTTGTTTCTCTCAATGTAAGTTTTTCCAACATATTATTTATACGCGACTGGATTTGTGATAGTGAAAAGGTTCCTCTCTCTCAACAGGATTACAATTCAACTACGGTTTGCGTTTACTCTACCCATCTATATGTTTTAAAACAACATCCGGCCACTGGCATTTAAATCTCTGCTCTCGATTCATCAATAAGTTTCTGGAATTGTTTTTTTTTTCAATTCCCATGGGAAACGTTCCCAACCACCTGGCTAAATGAGGTCCATCTGCCAGAAGCAAACAATTTATGGGAGTGTCAACAGTACGGCAGGTATAATTTCCTCGATAATTTCAAATTAGTATGAGCCTCTATTTCATCTTTCACAATTTTCCAGCTGATGATGTACGACGACGACTGAAAAACGTACGGTAGAGCACGGTAAAGACGACGACTGAAAAACGAATGGAATCAAAAAAAAAGGAAAATGGAATCAAAACAAAAGCAAAGGAAAAACAAAAACAATTTTTTTTTTCTTGGCTTATTGGACTGCTCCCTGAAAGTTTGAACAAATTCAAGTGATGCCAGATTTATTTTTCAAATCAATGACATTCATCAGGGCTACCAGATTGCATGATTTCACATTGTCCGGTCTATATAAAGTGGCTATAGTTTAGTCCTACGACTAAAAATCAATATAAACAAGAAAAAATAGTGGGGTTGTGTCGAGGGGGACGACTCTATCTACGATGCAGGAAAAATTGTGTTTTGCTGTGGTTAGCTGCACGCACACTGAGTAGATAGAAAGAAGATTGATGACGATTCTAAAGATTTCCTGCAAAAAGATGATGTGCGATGCAAGTAGATGCGAGAAATGATTGAAGATTTTTCGAAGATTGATTCGCTAGTGTGAGATTTGTTGAGCATCTAGAATTGAGATTTAGATGTGTCGCCCCCTCGGGTTGTGTACAATACACGACCGAATGGTTGACGTAGACTACGTTGAGATGTTTAGTGAGCTTCTAGTGCGTTTTTCTATGTATTGATTTAAAAAAAAACAGTAGAAGTAACTTATTTCCTCAATTTACTCCATTTCCTATCATTGACATGTCAATTTCCTCACCCTTATTAGTTAGTTAGTCTGTCTGTTTCTGGACTTTCCGTTAGGGATATTTCTGCATATGAAACACTTGTCTTTAATCCTCCGTTATAAATTATATTCCCCGTGCACACTTCAATGCCCATCCCATCTCCGTTGATCATTTGTTATGGATAACACGTTTAACCAAACGCTTGATCGCAGTGGGATACCTCCGGTGGGAAACCCACCCGGTTCACAAGCATCCTAGCCCAAGTAACATTGTAAGTTTTATTGAGGTTTTAAAGCACTCTACCAGTCTAAATCATGGTCTACAGTACCCTCATAAAGCCCAAATTATTACTTGGGAGGTAACCAATAAGCCCGCTAATTTGGATTGTTATATAAAGCTAACATACGACTAATACAGGGCTTTGGCGCATTATTAGTCGGATTATTACTAAGCAGGCTTGTTGGTTACTTGGGATTGCCCCCTCACTTTCTTTCCATCAGCATAATCGAAAATTTGATATTCAGAGTTGTGCTTTCACAAAATTAGAAAGTTTGGTCCGTGTTCAATATTTAATCATAATTTGCTACTTCAAGCATTCAAAAATTCAAGCAGGATCATAATTCTCAATGTTCATAGCTTAACGTAGGAATTTATCCGCTTCTTAAGCACATAATGAGGAACTAGAACTACAAGTATTCAGAAATATATCTCTTAATTTTTTGCCATTCCTGCATTTACACAAAGACGCTCCAATCCATTTCCAGAGTTTTAATTTTTGTTGGACCGAACTAAACACAGCACCACCCAGAAACTCGCTAATCCACTTGGTGCATGAATTTTGTAACAAACAACAATGTAAAGCTCTGCTTAAAGATGTAAATGATTTTTTTCTGGATCCCACTTCAACACAGAGACGGCTCAAAATCATCAAAATTCAGTTCGCCAAGCAGAATCTCACGAACACTAGCTTAAACAAATTTTTCGAAAAAAAAAATTCAAATTAAAATACGTTAGAAACACTATCGCCGCCATACGGAATGTTGCGACTCGAGTTATCACTTTGTGCGATTAATAAGTAAACTGAACAAAAAATTGTATTCAAATGAACTGTCAAATCAGTTCGAAACAAACAAGACAAAACAACGAAAATCAATCGAGTTGTGTGGTCAATGTGGTAAGATTTGAACACTGCTTACCCTGCATTCGTTCTTCCAGGAATTCGAAGAGCCTCCGGAGGGAAGTGGTCGGAACATAATTTTCCATTGCAAGCGCTTGGACTCCACGTGAGAAGAAAATCTTCTGTAGTTCGGGCTGTTCAGCATCCTTAGGGAAGCTTGTGAAAAGATTTTCGCTTGGTAATACCTTGTTTATTTGCTTAGCTCACAACAATTTTGACATTTATGTTAAGATGACGTCTGCCGGTCATCGACGTCGATGGGCAACGACACTAGCGCCACCACGATATTGCTAGTTTCAAACTTCTATTCAAAATAGCAGTTAAATTTATTACACACTTTAGGAATTGGACTTGGATGTCTGATTTTGACAGTTCTTACAGTAATGCATATGTAATTTGTATACAACATCCGAAGTCTCTCCTTTTTTAAATATTCTGCACAAAAACTACTTTCTAAGTCCCGCCCCTGGTAGGATTTCCCGCCGTTTTTTTATGAATGTGGCGTGAGAGGAAGTATCTTTTGTTCAGAGCATGTAAAATAGGATGGACATCAAATGTTATTTTAATTGCATATAAAGATGTACCGGACATGTTTTACACTATTTTGTGACTGTGAGAGGTACAGAATACATGACATGCAAATTTTCTCTCAAGTTGAATTTTTGGCTCTTTTGGCGGGTGAAAAAATTAACATCAATTCTTTTAAGGTTGTCGCAAGGGGTTGGTCACTCTACACTAGACTGATGCAAAATTTGACTTTTTCGCTCCACAGTGCTTAAATGGTTTCAAATCGGGTCCTGATTAGCCTCCCAAAGTTACAACTCATTTGGTTAGAAACAGACTTCGCACAAGCCATTTGAAGTTTACATGTAAATTACTATGGGAAATCTCAACTTTGTGTTCATTGCCTTCTAGTCTTTTTCCATATTGAGCTACGAAACAGTTCGATAGCCATTCTTATAAACAATTTTTTCAGCTACAACTTTGCTGAAGATCGTTTCTATGTAAAACGAGACAGGCAAAAGTTATTAATTATTTAAGAGGTTGGTAAACTTATGACATGATCAAGCAGCTGCTCTGTAGGCAACACTGTATTTTGCAGTGTGACATAGTAGCCATGATTTTTGTGTCCTATTCAACGCCCCAGAAACACCAATGTTGCCTGCTGAGCAGTTGATTGAGCATGATCATAAGACATCAGCGCATTGAACCATTGATAACTTTCGATCCTTGCATTTAATCAAAATGTGGTCTTCAACAAAGTTGTAGCTGGAAAAATTTTCTACAAGTACAGTTGAAAATTTTTGAAGCAGACTAATATGGTGAATTATTAGATAGACATGAACAAAAATCTTGGTTTTACCAAAGTAATTCCCATACAAACTTCAAATGGTTTGTGCCATCTCAATTTCTCACCAAATAGGTTCAAATTTTGAGAGGTTAGTCAGGATCCGATTTGGAATCGTTTAAGTATTGTGGAGCAAAAATTTCAAAATTTGCATCACTCTACTCTACACAGTGTGCCAAAATCAAACTTGGGCACCCCCGGGCGTCGTCATTGGCACCCATGGTTACAATTTTTAAAGTTACTGACAACACTGAACTTTTTCTGCGCTTCACTGCTTCAGTGTGCATGTGTCAAAATTGGTTATTGATGTTGCCACAATATAATCAAGTTATTTTCAAAACAACCGTGAATCTCCACCAAGTCTCGCCATGGATTCTCAAAATCGTTACACCCGTGACGGCAGTCGCATCCACATTTCCTTCCAGACGAAGAACAGATGACAGCGGTATCTTGAACTGACCGAGGTTTCCGGCCATGGCTACACGAACTAGCGATGCAGCTCTCACGGCTGCGGCTGCTTCCAATTCTTCTGCTGGTCTGTCTTTTTTTTATGAATTTTAGAGGAGACGGACCAGCAGAAGGAACAGCAGCAGCAGCAACTAAAGCAAAAGCAGCATAGGAAGCAGACGCAGCCGTGGGAGCTGAATCGCTAATTCGTGTAGGTGTGGCCGACGCTGGCTGGAAATCTCGGGCCGGTCACGACAAGCGGTGCTTGAGTTTTAATCGGAAAGTCAACCAAACAAAAACTACACCATCCGACCATAAGAACTGCTCGAATACATCCATAGCCACCGCTACTACACCACCAGCACTTCATGATGGCGTTCACCGCCAGGGCTACGCTCGGGAACTCGACCAATCCGGAGAAGGAAATTTCCGATATCAGCGGGAACGTTCGCACTTGCGACGGGTGACAGTCCTTGGTGGTGAATGCAGTCAGCAGCAGATCCTCGGACGGCATACGAGTGGGGTATTGAAGAAGT